CCAGTAAAGGGAGCACCTGTGGTGTAACCAGGCCCATGATGGAGCCAACCTGTGATACCTCCTCAGAAGAAAATGTTGGTTAAAACATGCCAGTGGCTACCGAGTCATGGTAGAGGAGTTGTGGGGTCTTGTTCCTCCCTTGTTGGCATAGATTACAGAGGCAGGCTCTGGCCTGCCCATCAGGCTGGCCAAAAGCACTTGGTCTGGTAAATGGATGCATGCCTAGACCGAGCTAGGAAAGGCTGGTTTGTTTTTCCCTTGACATGTAGCTATTTTCTCCTGCCTGTCCTTTCCTGTGTTTTGGTCAATATGGGCATGGAACAAATGTGACAGGGAATGGATGTCAGAAGAAGTTTCCTCTCCTTTATTTTCTGCACAGTCTTGCTGCTTAACCTTCCTAGGAGAAGTTTCAGGTGGCTAAACAGAAAGCACAGGGGCACTGATGCCAGTTGTGAGCCAAGTGGCCTATAAGCCATTGGAGATTTGGGGTGGGAGGGATTGTACTGCCCGGGGCTGATTGAGGCTGTTTGATTGCTTTCATAAGGCAACCTTTCCCAGTGCCAGCAGAGCTCTCTGGTTGCCACCTCAGTGTGGAAGCACACACTTAGGGATGTCAGGTCTCTTCTTGTCCCCTTTACAGGAGCAGCTTCTCAAAAGAGCTTTTGTCTGGAGCAACTGCCCAGACAGCTGGGCAAACCCATGCTGGTCTGTTCCTGTGTTTCCTTTCCCAAGAGCAATACCCAGCCCTAGGTTGGAGAGCCAGGCATTGGCTGCCTGACCCAGGATGCTTGCGGTCTTCTCAGAATAACATCACCCTCAACATGAGCTTGGCAAGTGCCACAGGGAACACATGGCAGGAAACAAGATGGATCCGTGAGCCATGTCTTTGGTTGCTCTCCCAGCAGGATGCTTGCAGAGCCATCATCTGAACCAGCGTTGGCAGTATTCAGCCAGTACTGGAAAATCGGAATTTGAAGCTGCCCTGGCTGAATCCACCCAGCTCTGCAATCATGGAATAAAACTGGGATGGAGATGGGTGGGAGGTGAGAGCAGCACCTCTGGTGACACTCGCTGGAGCCACGAGGGCTGTGCTGGCCACAACAGCCCGGCAAGAGCCGAGACTTCCCTGTGCTTGAAGGCAAACAGCCTTGGCTGGGCAAGACCAGGAAGGGCAAGGTGTGACGCGCTCCTCGCCAAAAAGCAGGGAGACAGGATGAGGTGGGACGGCAGAGGCCGTTTGCTGGTGGCCCTGGCATGTCCCTGTGGGTCACACACCTTGCAGTGTGGGGCTTGGCAAAGCAGTGGGGCTGTGGGCAGGCAGTGCTGGCCCGGGCTCTGCTCGCAGCTCCCCGGGATGCTGTCGGCAAGGTCCGGGCACGCTGGCCCTGAGCCCGCAGCCACCGCCCGCACCACAGTCTCCCCTTTGTTTTTGGTGCCCATGCATCCAGAGGTTGTAGCTGCGTTTCCTACACCCACTGGGAGGATGTGGGATTTTCCTGGCTGCAAAATGCAGCAGCAAGAAGCTCTGCAGGCTGGGCCAGTGACTCAGCTGCCAGCGATGGGCAGAGGACAGTTCAGACGGGCTCTCCCTTCTCTGTGTGTGCAGCAGCCCAAGCCACGGTGCCCTTGCAAACCTTAATCCTTTTGTTTTCCACCCCATTCCTAATTTTGCCACACAAGAGAAGAAATTGATCGCCAGCAGGAGATACCCCAACTGGTTTGGAGAAACAAACAGATGATTTTTATTTGCAAAATATTTCATTCCTTTCATCATAGTCATTTCTGCAGAAACACAGTCAGAAGTTGCTGTGTAGGAGTATGGATTTCTGGTAACGAGGCCACCTACACAAATCCACCGCAGGAAATAGGAAGCCCATACCTAAAGCCTCCATTGTCTAAGGCCCAGTTTTGCAGAAGTGCTTAAGCACCGCTTTAGTCCCGCTGCAGGCAATGGGAATAGAGGATGCTGAGCCCTTGGCAGGAGGGGGTCAGGATTGCACCATCCTAGACCTTGACTCAGTGAGTCACAGCATTGCAGGCATTTGAGAGCCGGGAGAATTCTGAATCTCAGCACAAAAATCCCCACACAATAAATAATATCCTGTTAATTCATCTGTTGCATCTTGGGTTGATAGTAGGAAGAATAAAAGTACCTGTTTCTTCCCTCCCGCCTTCAAAAAGCTCTTTCATTTCCTGAAAAACTCCTTTAATTGTGATACATAAGCATTTTCAACTCACATTTTCTCTTGGATTTGTAATATTGCTATTTTTAATGCCATTGGCAATAATAGAGTTGTTTTCTACAGAATGAGCTGAAGCATTTAGCCCAGCCAGACAGTGGCCCAGTTTATCAGGATTCAACAAAAAATATTTATATATATTTCACAGCACAAGAAGAAATAATATTCAAACCTCTTGGCCATTTTGATGAGTACTTTATTGGTTCCTAATGTTAAGGAGGAGGATGAGAAAGAGCCATGTAAAGGGATATGTTTACTGAACACTAGTCTCAAGCATGGTAATAGTCTGCTTAGAGAAAATAATTAGTAGCAGTTTTAGCACCTGTTTTGCCTGATTTCTGCTTTAGATGGACTGTACCTTCACTGACATGGATTTTTTTCATCTGGGCAAAAATCTCTTTTTACTTCTGCAAAAGGTACCTGTCATTCCACAACTAACATCAATAACTTCACCAATAATTTAGTTAACCCGATAGGAAAAAAACCCAAACAAACCCTAAAAACTTTGTTAAAATTATGTCCTTTCCAAAAGGAGCTATTCTGCAGCAATTCTGTTCAACCTCACAACTGTATTATGGACTGATTTAAACAAAACATTCAAAAGATTTGTGGAAGCCATGCTTCTGTGGATTTCTTGGCCAATCATGTCCTAAGTTCTCTAAAGAGGAAACATGAGAAGCACAGACTTAAAACTTACACTGAGATGATCTAATACCATGTTTTTAGAAGCTGCTTAAATGTTGCTTTTTTAACTGAAATACCTTCAATCTACAATGTTTGCGGTCACTTTTTCCTTGATGTTTAGAGTTTTTATAGTACTTCTCATTTGGATGTCTGAAACAATTTAGAGGAAAGTATGTATCTGTTTTCTCTGTATTGAGGTGGAGAAGGAACAATACTAGGAAGCAATTTCACACAATAGCATAGATGTGTGAATTATGTTGGTTTTGTTTCATTGCACTAAGCTATGTTTTTGGGTAGAGAGTGGTCCAAAATAATGTTGGAAATGTGCTAGGTTAGCTGTTCCATTTGCTTCCTATGGAAACCTGGTTTTTATGGCTTTATTTAATGTGGGGGGTTCATTTCATAGTGAAACTTATGTCACTGCTAGAACCAGTCCGAGGATTTCAGAGGAAATAAAGTGGCCTTGAGAGCATGGGAATTTTACACCTTTGCAGCCCAGGCTTTACAGTTTGCTTTGTTAATATTTTCTGTATTGAATACAATTCAGACAAGCAAAAAAAAAAAAAAAAAAGGCAAAAAAAACCACCTTGAGCAATTTCAGGTTCTGCAATTAGTGGCATCCAGGGCTGCAAAGAGTTCACGAGCTATAGGTTTGGGTCCCCACAAGGCCATTGGAGTTATGCCACATCCCTAAAGGTCAACACACTCACCTTGGGGACTAGAGTCTAATTGTCAAATCCTTGTTCCTGTTGACTCGAAGCTAGGCCATGATTCCAGCTTTCCCACATCCCCAGGGAGGGCCACAAGCATCCTGCAGCAAGCCTGGCTCTGTCTCTCAGCTGGAAGTGGTTCCATTTGATAGCAGTATTCCCAAAGAGAGAAAAGAACTCTACAGAGTGGTCAGAGCACTCGGGGGGACTGTGTGAAAGGCAAGTTGAGTTCTCTGCTCTCCTGAGAGAGTGCCTGAAATTATTGATACAGAGTGGGAGTTTCAGAAAGTGTGGTTTGGGGGTTTAGCTTTGAACAACTGACTAATAATTACAGCATTTTGCACATGGGTTGTGAGAGAAGCCTTGCGTTCTTCCTTTCAGAGAAAATAATTCTGTATTCAACCACGTATTTCAAGCCCAGTCTGGATGATGTTTGTGTGCCTGCATTCCCTCCTCACTGAAAGCCACAGCGGAGGCAAAGAAGCATCAAAGCCTCACGCACCTCACACGTCAGTAACTGGATGCCCTCTAGGGGCTCATCTCAGCCTCTAGACGGAGCAGTTTGCTGCCCTGAGCCCTGCTCCAAATCCACTTATGCTATCATAGGGGCATTTAAAAGCAGCTGTAGTATGGCAATATTTAATTTATTTAACTCGGCGAGGAGGTTTCCAAGGAGTTAATATTGAACGTTTCAAATGCTTAGTGTGACTTCACCAGGCAGTTTGCTGGATGCGAGAGTCTTCAAAACTGTAAATGACCAATTTAAATATTTTAATATTAAATGCCTCATCAGTTTATGGAACTATTTGGGCTCTGTTAGTAAGACTCCTGGCATGTGAATGTACACAAATGTTTCCTGTGTTGCTCCCCCCCATCCTCTTTTAAATGCCAAGATTAGGTGTACCTGAAAAGAAGCCTTTTTTCTTCTGCTGTTAGAAGCTGATCCTGTGCTTATTGCTCTGAAAATAAACTCACACCTAATGAAGTGAGAACACAGCACTCCTTGGCAGTTCCTTGGGTCTTTTTTCCCTAAAGCCAGCTGAAGATTTGCCTTAGTGTGGGACTGGCAGGACTGTGGGACTGTACTGTGGCCTGAGAGATGATGCAGAAGTTAGAAGCTGCACATGGGAGATTAAAATTGCCATACAATTGTCATATTTTGGAATATAACTTTTTAAGCAATTTTTTCCTCTTGAACTATTTTGTATTTTATTAAAAGCCTGGTACTTTTTCAGTTCAAAACATATCTCATGAGAAGACATTTGCAATATTATCTCCCAAGCAGCTGTTTATTGGCCTTACCAATGCTTTGAAATGTAGATGTTTGCCAGACACAAACTGCAGTTCCACTTTCCTTTCTGTGCAGTGTCTGCCCAGAATGAACACTCAGAGTGAAAACCAGGCTTTGCTGATGGTGCAGAGGGAGGATCTCAGCTGGGTGCACACAATGAATGCCTGAATTGCAGCCAGCTGAGGGGAATCTGCAGGTGCCAGGTAAGGACCCACTTGGTGTCAGCATAAGGAGAGGAGGGATGCAAAGGATGCGTTCACAGCCAGCTGCCAGGCTGAAAAGGGGATGATTTCCTTCACTGTCTTGCAAAATAAAGCACCTTGAGACACTTGTTAACACTTGCAAGTTTTGTGCTCATCCAGACACTGCTTGACATTCCAGACTTCAGAGATTAATGGGCAAGCCAGAAATAACATTTCACCATTGTAGTACATATGGCAGGGATGATTGTGTGGCTTTTTCCTACCTTCAGGGCAGATAATGGGATTAGAACAGGAAGCGAGAAGTGACATGCATCATAGGTAAACCACAGTCATCAGTCTCTTCCTGTGGCAACATAAAAAAAAGTACAGTCACTCTAATAGGCTCTGGGATTCCCCATAATCAACTAGAACTTCAAATTTCCCTTTCTGAATATATGTGGTTAGTACTAGTAACTTTTAATCAGCAGAGTGGAAGAGGAATTACGTGACAGACTACTGCACCTAAGAATTCCTCTCTTAGAAAGAAGAGATAAATGAAAGTGAAAATGTGCTTGGTGAACCATTTAAGACTTTAAAATAATTAAGGAAAAAAAGAGAATAAGCACAAAAACTTCTTAATTTGCAAAACAGTTTTATTTCACACTTATACAAAGGTAAGACATTTTAAAACACTTGCAGTACTACAGATTACATCTACAGCCACCATGTTAACAGGGGGACTTCTCAGGCCTCTGGAGCTTTACAGGATTTGAAGGTTTTGAAGCTGATTGTCTACAAAGGATAAACCCTCCTGCAGAGCAACATAATCAGATAGCAGGCTGTGTGTCACTGCTCTAGAATTCAGAGGGAAATGTGGCTCTCCAGTAAGTCCTGCATTGACAGTATATGAAAGAAACACTGAAGAAAATGAAGGTACTCCTACAAGAAACACCCCAAAACCTGTGATGTGCAAAATTGGACTGCGTGGATTTAAACATATGCAGAGCTCCACAGATGTCTGTCATGGTGAGCTACTTTTTCACTTCAGATGCAAATCCTCTCTGCAGTGTAACTGTCAGCAAGACAAAATTTACTCTACTGCAGCATGGAACTGAACTTTTTAGGTACCTGAAATCCTGGAGTAACAGCAGCTCTGTGATGTCTGGGGAGTAAGAACAATGGCACAAGGTGTTGCCTGGTTATAAACAATAAACTTTGGTCACCCAAGCAGGTTACATTCAAGTTTCATTCTGGTTTCAGGTGATCAGATAAACACAAGAACATGTATGGATGGCACACAGCTCCAAAGGAAGAACCAAACCTACATTTGCTTTCCATTACATCCAAAAACAACTTGCCATAGGAAAACAGTTTTTCATACAGAAATACAGACAAATATACAATTAATTTTAGAGTCTTTCATGGAAATAAACAACAGGAGACAAATACCAAAAGATAACTTAAAAAACCTTCAAAGGAATAAAAAATACTGTGCTTGTCCCTTCAATCAGTAGCCTTAGGAAAGGCAAAGTAGCCTTTCCCAACAGCAGTGGGCATCTTCTCATCTCAAATGAATATTTTTTAGTTAAATAGTAAAACACAGTGTTTTTTATCCAAAATGGCAATCAGGGAAGTTGTTATGGTAGAGGGGAAGGGATCCTGCCTTGCAGTATCTTCTTTGACTTCTGCAGTATCTCATTTTGGCAGTCTTGGGTACTGCAGCCCTCCTTCCCCAATTATTTTTGTTGAAAAAGAGAAATAAACCAAAAAATCTGCCCTTTCAGACTTTGTTCACATGGAGAAAACATGCAGGAGGCACAAGCCCAGTTTTTAAACCTTTTCCAGGTTATCTTTTGGACCAGCAGTATAGCAAGGCAACAAATATTAGTATAAGCTAGTTTTCTTCATGATTCTCAAAAATTCTTGCTCGCTTACTTCCCCATCTCCATCTCGATCAGCTTCATCAATCATTTCCTACAAAACACAGTGTACATTTGATCAGGCACTGGACTCTAAACACAAGACATTCCACTCATTAAAACAACAATAAATCAGAATCACATCATGTGAAAACAACTATGTATTTGACTCTTTTCATATTTCTGATCTCTCAGCCCTTTTGGTATAGGATGAAATTCCCACCCAGTCCCTAGGAGCTACAGGAATGGTCTGTGCCTGTTAGAAAAGCTCTGGCAAATCAGAATTTACCTGAAGTTCTTCATCTGTTAAATTTTCTCCCAGCTCCTTGGCAACCCTTTTCAAGTTTTTGAATGAAATTTTTCCTGTGCCATCATCATCAAATAATCTGAAAGCTTTCAGGATTTCTTCTTTTGAATCCTTTTCACTCTAAACCAAGAGTAAAGCATATGTTAATCAGAAAACCTCTGACACTGAGATGTTCCTTTCTCTTATGCTGCCACAAGAATTTCTCCTAAGAATTCTTACCATTTTTTGTGTCATCATGGCCAAAAAGTCTTCAAAGTTGATGGTGCCACTCCCTTCCTTGTCAATGTCTGCTATCATCTTCTTAATCTCTTCCTTCTTTGGCTCAAAGCCTAAGGCACGCATTGCTACCTGTGCCAAAATAGCAAAACCAATTCTGTTAGGAGGCTACCAGAATTTTGGTGTAAGAGCTGAGCTAAAGCCTGTTTTATTTCCTTGTCCAGAACTCTAGTCACAACTCACTGCCATGAAAACACCTATTCTTTCATCTTGCTGAGCAATAATAGTGTAGGTTTGATATTCTTAAGGTGTTGTTTTTCTTATATGGTAGTGGAAATCCATAGTTTGTATCAGGCATAGGTAACTTATGTTTTCAGGTTACAGATGCAGAAATTGAGCAGAGTGTATGTGAGAAATCAAGGAGATAGGTAAAGGAGATAACTAAATATAAAGTGTTCATGCTTACAAAAAAATCAAACACATAAAATCACAGGGAGACAACTGAGAATCTCTTCCTCCTTGTACTACTGCATGTGTGCAAGTGCACAGACACTGCCTGACTCGTAACTGAAACACAACTCAGATCTCTGTTTTGTTCTTTTTTAAATTAAAAACCAGGTAATTTTTGGATTACATATATGCAAATACGGTTGTAACTTTCCTGAGTGCGTGCACAATCTGTGTTTAGTTCTCAGGTGAAGTAATATTTGATACTCTGCTGCTCATCCCAGAACAACACAAGTCCACTTCCCAGGAACAAGCACCTTAGTCACGAAACCTGAAACTGTTTAGTTTCTCTAATGCTCTCTAATTCAAAGCTGTCAGATTTAAATAGCAACATAGGAGAGAAGCCTGTCTGCTTCATGCATTACATGCAGAGTGCACCCCAAATTCAGTCATGACAGCAAACCATTACTCTTCTTTGTACTCCAAAACTGTTTTAAAATAGGGTTGGACAAACAGAAAAAGCAGCTATAATTTTGAGATCAAAGATATTTTCACCTCAGAGGAAAAAGAAAAAAAAGTTTTAAAACCTTCAGTTCTTTTATGTCGATGCTTCCAGATCCGTCAGTGTCAAACAAATCAAAAGCTTCTCTGATCTCCTGCTTTTGCTCTTCTGTAAGTTCAGGTTTCAAGCCACTTTTCTTCCTCTGGGCTGTACCTAAGCCAGGTTTTCTATAGTTGGATGCCTTCAGAAAGTGAAGGGAGAGAACAGATAAGAAACAGCACCTTCCTGGGAGAATTTCAAATACACTTAATCATAAATGACAGCAGGTGAGAGACATTCCTTGCTGCAAGTGGTAGACACTGAGTCTCTATGTTAATTTCCTTAGGTTACTGTAGATAGAAAAAAACAAATTTTGTTGCCGGGGAAGGAGGATTTGGACCTGTTTTCTGTTTTAAACTGAAATATTATCAGTTCAAGGAACAATGGCAAAAAAACAGTGGGAGCAGTGAGATCAGCACACAATCTGTCTCATAAGGAGAACTAATCTACTTGTGCTGAGCTGGTGCATCATTATTCAGGACACTTCCAAGACCTTTCCTGCCTCTGGTGTAAGCCAGTGCAGTATAGGGTGTCTTCCACCCCGTCCATAAAGCAGGGGAAAACACCTTCCTCTGGTATAGTTTTGGTTTTAAATCGGCAGCAGACAGATTTTCGTCCTGCAGCCTTGAATCTGCACAGAATGGTGGAGGAAAGGCAGTCGCTGCCACCCCCAGCTCCAAGAGGCTCGGCTTTATAGAAGTAAATAAAACAAGCACAAGGAATTTGTTACCTAGTTACTGCTGACCAGTGATTTGATTTGCCTCTGCTGAAATGTTAACGTTTTAGGGCTGGGATCTCTCTTCTAACACAGAATATTCCATTTTCTTCTATCTGTTAATAAAATTTCGTGTTCCAACGTGATTTGTCCCTCCCAGGTTGGACTGCAAAGCCATTTGCCTGGCTCACCCCTGACCTCCCTCTGCTACTAGCACACGTATCAGACTTTTACTCTTGATATGCTGCTCTGGGAAGAAGCCACACGAGACCTTTTCCTGGCCACGGAGACTTATTGCTCATTTATTTCACATCCGACTTCTGCAAATCCCTTTCAGGTTCCACCTCTGGGCCTGGCCGCTGCCATTCCGACAACGCTGCGGGGGCCCGAGCGATGCGGAGCTCTGTGAGCCGTGCCAAGAAGAACCAGGCACGCCGAGAGCAGGTGACGTATTTCGCGAATCCCGGTGTTTTTTTCCGGGCGTGTTTTTTCCCGCTGGAGTGGGGTGCGCTGTGCGAGGCAACCGGGCAGCGGCGACGGCCTGGGCAGGGGTGGAACCTCAAGGGGGTTTGCACAAGGCACGGTGTGGGCGGGAGGGGGCGGAGGGGCTCGGGGGAGGCGGCGGTGGGAAGGGAGCCCGCGGCGGGGAGAGCGCGCTCACCATCCGGCCGGGAATGCCGCTCCGGGCTGGCACCGGACGGAACGGGCCGGGCCGGGCCGGGACGGGAGCTCCGCACCGCCGCGCGCAACCGGCACGCGCCGCCCAGCCGGCCAATGAGCGGGCGGAACGAGCGCGGGGAGCCGCCCCCCTCGCGGCGCCGGCCAATCACAGCGCAGCGTGCCCGTGAGGGACAGCTGAGGGAGCGCGAGGGCGGGCCGGCCCGCGGGGAGCCTGAGGGAGCGGCGGCCGTGTCCAGGCAACTCCGCGTCCAGGGGAGCGCCGGGAGCGCGGCCCCTCCGGTGAGACACCCGCGCCGGCCCGCCGGGCACCCTCCGGGCCGCAGGAAGCGGCCAGGCTGCCGCCAATGCAGTTCCGGTGTGTCCGCTCCGGGCGGCTTCCCCGTGGCCGTGTGGAGCAGGCGGGCCGGGACGCGCTTCCTCTCCCTAGCAGTACTGCGACATAATATTCAAGTGGACTTTCGCTGTGAGGGATGGGAAAAAGAAAAAAAAAAAAAAAGAAAGGAAAAAAAAAAAAAGCTTTTTGGATTTGCAGTAGCTACGCAAAGGGGCCTTTAGGGAGCTGGGATAAATTATGTGAATAAATTCCGGTACCTGAAGGGAACTTAGACGGGGCAGGACTATTCGCAAGGGCATATAGTGATGGGACAAGGGGAGATGGGTTCAGACTGACAGATAGTCGATTTGGATTGGATATTAGGAAGAAAATGTTGTGAGGAGGATGACGGGCTGGAACAGGTTGCCCAGAGAAGCTGTGGATGCCCCATCCCTGGAAGTGGCCAAGGCCAGGTTGGATGTGGCTCTGAGCAACCTGGTCTGGTGGAAGATGATCCCGCCCGTGGCAGGGGGCTTGAAACTGGATGGTCTTTAAGGTCCCTTCCCACCCAGACCATTCTGTGATTTGAATCTGAGCATAAGAGATACAGGACTCAGGGTTCTCAATTCTTCATGTGTATATTTCATTATTCAAAAAGGGAGCTTTATTTTGATCCATGTCTTCTGCCACGGGACCATGGCATGGAAGAGATTTTGAGGGACAGATTCCTTTTTGCTGTGTTAAGAATGAATAGTCGATCAGAACTTTAAATCTCGGCAGTTTGTAAGTTATGAAAAAGTGGCATCTAAACAGGATTTGGAGTAAAATATGTTTTTCCAGAGTTGAAGGTTAAATTCAGCATGGCATGACTGTTGTTACCAGGAAGGAGCCGCACAGAGCTCTTGAGTTTGGCGTGTAATTTGTCCATTCTGCTCTAATGAACTTTTGCCCTAAGTAAGGCAAATAACTGAAATTCCAGACATCAGGGCAGGAGGAGGTGGTAGTTCAGCCTCTACTGCCGGGAGTGTAAGGAACCGTGGGAATTAACAGCTCCTTACTATCAGCCAGCCAGAAACAATTCCGTGGTGTTCTAACAGTGCCCCATTTCAGCACTCTGCCCATTGATTTCTCGTAATAAGCGCACAGGAGGAAAGCTTTATGTGGAAGAAAGCTGTGCTCAGGGGTAGACTGATACATTATTTTTTTGGTGATTTGTGCTCTGGTGTGCTGTGAGGATGGGGCAGTAATTTGTCATCTGTTCACAGATGCTGCCCACTGCCCATGGCTTTCAGCGATGTGAATGCCAGGAGACACATTGGACTCCAGCAGCTCTCAGCCTTAGCATCCACTGGGAGAACATTCCTGGGGCCAATGAAATCACATAAATTCATTGTGGATGACATCACCAACCAGAGCACATTGATTTGTTCTGCTGTTAGGCTGATGGAAAGTTTGGATTTGACAAGTGCTGCTGGACAGCTTCTTAACGAAACCATTCAGGCTCAGAACAAGGAGTTTAAGACGGGGGTGAGTACCCTGTTGTTCCTGGTTGGAGCATGGAGCAGTGCTGTGCTGGAGTGCCTCCAGCAGAACGTTCCTGTTCCAGCTATAGTGTCTGTGATGTCTGAGGGGTTGGACTCCTGCTGTGAGAGAGTCCAGTGTCTTCAAATGCCAATACACCACGTAAACAAAGAGCTGTGTTCTAGCAGAGATAGGCCAAAGGCTTTTGAAAGCAAAACTGGCCAAGCTGGATGGGACGGTCTTACAAATCCTTGGAATTTGCTGTGTTTTCAGAGAGATCATTCTGCAACAGAGGAGGTAATTCCAATAAATTCTTGTTCCCATCAAGGAGATGATTGTAATTTTAACAAGTTCCTGGTTTCACCCTTGGCTGGCATTGGTTCAGTGGCTTCTGTTGTCAAGGCAGTGGGTGACAGAAGTTCATCTGCGCTGTCTGGAAGTGGTGTTACTGCTTCCAGCTGCCTCGCACGGAAGTTAACCCACAGCAGGCACTTCAGCACTCTAGGGAAAAGCCCTTTTGCGAGTCAGCACGGTCACGTTCAGGGACACCTTTCAGGACCATCAGCAGATCTGTGTGGATCTTGTGGTTTAGGACACCTGGCAGTGGCTCTGAGCCACGGAAACCAGACCAGCGTGAAGCTGCTACAAAGCATTGCTGCTTATCAGCAAGAGAGAGCAGAGCGCAGTGGCTCTGCCCAGGTTAATATCGCAGAGATTGTGACGTGCTGTGTGCTGGGGCTGCCCGAGAGCTATTCCTGTGTCTCCCCAGGCTTTGTCACATTGGTGTCACCGGAGCAAGCCGCAGTCATCAAACACTTTGCCGACAAACCCCTCCGGGTTCTGCTGGTGGACGGTGACCTCGCGGAAGGGTACCGACACTTAGGTTTTAACAGACCACCTAACGTAAGGACCATTTTGGAGCGTCCCAATCCACAGGGAGGCAGGGCAGGAGATGTGTGGCTAAGCAGAATGTCGGATATTCTGATGAGCTTTGAAGTAAACCTGGTTTTGGTCAAGGGAAACGTGTGCAAAAACTTCATGGAAAGGTGCATCGCCGGCAGGATATTGGCAATTGGCTATGTGGCTCGGGATGTGCTGCGTGCCTTCGGGGCAGCCACTGGTGCCCAGGCGGTGACGTACCTGAGCCAGCTGAACGCTTCCTCCGTCGGCAACGGGGCCTGGGCGGAGCTGTGGGAGAGCAGCGATGGGCGCGCTGTGGATCTGGCTGAGCTGCTGCCGGCGCGGATCAGCGCGGGGGGCATCGCCCTGCTCACGGCCGTGCTCACCACCGCCCTGCCCTCCAAGGCGCAGCTCCTCGAGGACCAGTTCTGGGCTTTGCTCTATCGACTCCATCACGCTCTAAAGGACGGGAAGGTTTTCCCTGGGGGCGGTGCAGTGGAGCTCTTGTGCCTCAGTCACATCCAGGCGCTCGCAGAGCAGCCCGGGCGACCGGGAAGCGACAGAGCTGTGAGAGAACTTCCCATTCCCTGGCTGGCAGAGTATAAATCCATTGTGCTCCAGGCACTGGCCAGCGGCTGGAAGCGGTACCTCTCCGTGCTCCTGTGTAACACTGCAAAGGCCGGCTCGGAGCTGGAAGCAGCTGCATCCGTGGATCATCACCTCCAGAAAGCAGCGGCTTGTGGCTCTCCCTCAGCTTACATTTTGGAAGAGTTTAGGAGAGGTGGATTGCTCAGGAGTGGCTATGAGCCCTTCCCTGACCAGGTCACAGATTTAAAGGTTTGTGATAACGTTGCAGCCAAGACAGAGGCGTGGAGGAGAGCTCTGGACCTGGTGCTGCTGGTGCTTCAAACTGATGCCGAAATTATCACAGGCCCCAGAGGGAATCAGATCCTGAACTCACCTGTGTCAAGCGAATTTATGTTTTTATAGGATTTTGAGGATTTGTAAGTCCATGAGTCAAATTTGTAAGTCCCTGGGAGAAGCCTGGGTGCAATCTACATGTCTTTATAAAGCAATCAGTGAGATGTGATTGTGACTTTAGAATGTAACAGCAGAAGTCAGAATGAGAGACAGTCACAAGGTAATTTCTTATTTCTAGGAATGAGAATTAAATAACAAACAAAAAAACATTGTGGGTTTATCTCTAACCCAGGCCATGCATTTCTAGCTAATGGTATTGCCTGTATGGATGCCCCCTAATGTCTTCTGAAGAAAGGTGGAGATCTCTTACATTACATTGCTGTACTTGTGTTAAATGAAAGAATATTCTGTAATTATTTCTTAATTAATACCTTGTTCTTAATTTCTGTATATTGCAAACAGAAGAGTTAAACTTGAAATAATGTGAGTGTTACATTTTACACTGAGAAGTTGAAAGAATAGATTCTATTCTTGCATATTTATGTGGTCCATACATCTCTGATTTTCTGGTGTAGACCCTCTGGAATTTCTCTGGTTTTGACCAATTCAGGCTGAATCCTTCCTTTTGGTATTACAGACTGGATGCATCTCTGCACAAAATTTTCTTTTACATTGCCAACTGGATTTTTAGATAATTTCCATGGGGTCTTTCAGCTGTCCCTGCAGAGAGGAAAATGTTGCTGTAAGTTTTAGGTGCTGGCTAACAACTGGGAACGAATCTCTCCTGATGACTGAGGCACAGCATTTTTGCTGTGTTACAGCACTGGCAGTTTGAAAGCTGGGCACTGGAGAGCTGGCACTTCATTGCAAGAGAGAGGTGTGTAACTATGGAGATATTTTTTTTCTGAACTTGGCATTCTGAGTCACACTAAAAGTGAAATGTCTCACCAGTCTGGTGAAAATAGAATGGAAAACGAATGGAAATGGTGATGCTAAAGAGGATCCTTGCATTCAAGAACTTTCTCATTAAAATGCTCATGGCTGGCAGCACAGATAATGAAATTCATCCACAAATAAGGTTTAGATACTTATTTGGGGTATCTGTATTAAAATAATGTTACATCTCTGACCTGAAACTAAAATATTCTAGTTTTCTGTCAGATCCCAGAATTTGATGGATTTTGGCAACATACTATAGGGGCTTATAATTTTAATTTGGAACAGTAGTTCTGAGCAGCATAAGGATCTCATTAGATTACAGTTTTGATCATCTTACAATTATTATTTTCATTATTAAAAGGTTGGCAATTTAATGTGTAGCTGCTGGGCTGCACTCTTGATGTACCAAGCTGTGAGAAAGAGTCTGGTAGATCAAAAGAGACAAAAGGAGCTGGGGGCTGTTAAGTGAGAATGAAATGGAAACACAACATATAAATAAATATAAACAGACTCTGCTGCTCTGCAAGCGTTTGCAGCTCATGTTTGGCTTTACACTGTTTTTCTTGAGCCTCCTGTGCTGAGCATTGCATAACCCCTGTTCCCAGGGAAAGATCCACTTGGACTTTATTTGAATAATAGAGTGAAGCGTGTTATGGAAAATCTGCAGACAGGAATTGTATTGAGGTGGTCCAACATCTATTTATGAGACTCTTAGACACTGGGAGCTGACGCACCAAATGTTGAGAAAGTCCAAAATGATGTAATTTTTCCAATCAGGCTTTTGAAAAGCACATAATGATATATTTAAATGTTGTGATGCCAAACCAGGACAAGAGGTTTTCAAAAAAGCTGTCAGATGTTACATTTGGATTAATTAATGCCTGTTTTTCTACAGGCCAACGAAATGGAACCATTTATAAACTAGGTACATCCTGTATCCTGGGTTACTTAAAATTCTGTCTGATATGCACAGAAGATTACCATGCAAGCTCTCCTTAAGGCATCCTCTCCTGCAATTTGGAATACAGCATACTGGTGTGGCTCCCTCAGCCTCAGATCTCCTAAAACTCTCTGCACCATGGAGTGGAGATCCTGGGCCTGTGTGCCATGGCGCTCGGCACAGAAATGATTTCAACATCTGCCACAGGCAATTCCAGCTCCTGCCAGGCAGAGGCTCCTCCTCTGGACACAAAGGCTGTTTGTGTAGAGCATGGTGTGATGGCAGAGCTAAGCTTTCACATGTGATGTGCTTGGGAAATTGGGAAATGGCTGAGATTTCTGGAGTTGGCACATCTTGCTCCCCGCTGGAACCAAGTCCCAGTCAGGTGCCTGGTTTCTCCATTGCATCCCAGTATTGTCATTCTCATCTTACTCCACCTTCTGTTTGGGGCTGATGGCATTGTATTTGATATTTCTCTCTATAAAACAAAATGTTAGGCCTCTGCACATTGAGGATTTCCTGAAATGTAGTAGAGGTCTCCTAATTCATAGCAACTCTTGTCCCAAGCTGAGCCAGCCTGGAGGACACAGCCACCTGCAAATTCTGCCCAGTGATCAGTGGCTGTCAGGAGGCACCTGAGAGTTTGTCTGCTACCAGGTGTGCTGAAAATGTGAGCTGGGAAATGTAGGAGACTGTGTGTGCCTACAGTGCTCCCCAGGCAGGCAAAGCAGCGACTGTGGGAAGGTGAGGAGAAAACTGTTAGACTGTTTGTTTGCACTGAACTCCCTTAGATACCCTAGACCAGGGCTGATGGAGAAATTAGGAGAACGTTTTCCTTTTTTTTAGAAGAGAGAGTTGGAGAGGGCAGTAGAATCTAGGAGAAAAGTTATGGAGTGACAAGAGATTTTTAGCTCTGCTCACAAGGATGAGGCGACTGGCATGCCTGAGTCATCCCATCAGTCACACTGCCAGCAAAAAATCATTCTGAAGAAGGGGAAGAACTGACCTTCTTCCATGCAAAGCACCTTGGCTTCCCATAACGAACATCTACAGGAGCTCAACCAACATCACCAGGTATCAAGTGAATGAAATGTCTTGTAACTGTTTGGGGTTTTTTTTGTATCTTTTTGTGTGTAATCTCTATAAAACTCCAGTGTAAACTCCCCGTTACATGAAAATGCCAAACTCAAATGCGGCTGAGCTGCTGCTTCAAGGATGGACTTGCTGTTCTGGAACCAGCTGAATTGCCAGGACTGCTGTGAACAACAGGCATTTCTGGAGGTAACAGAGACCCATTATAAGCCTGAAGATTTGTTTTACCCAGTTTTATCCCTCTCTCTGTAGATCAGCAATCCTTTTGAGATAATTCCACACCAGCACAGTCACAGCATAGTTTGTATGACATAATTTGGAAAAATCAAAAAACTACAAATTTAACTCCTCCATCTGCCACCAGCATCATTGCATTAATTAACCATTTATTGCAAAGCTGCAGGACCAAGACCTTTTTTCTAACCAAGCATGAATAGATCCATGGTCTTAAAGGGCTTTTTCTTTACAGATAATGTTGCTCCAAGAACTAATGTCCACAGGAATGATTCCAGCCCAGGTTAGAGAAGAGGGAGAACAGCTCAGGTGCATGCACAAACCAGAGACTGGGGTTGATACTGAATAGTGGGAGGAAAAAAAGAACACACCCCTCTGTGTGTTTTGGCTTCCTACCTGTTTATTCTCTCATAATACCCATTTCTGTAGATTTTTGAAAGGCACCCACAGTTGTGCTTCTGCTGATTTCGATGCTGGTTTGCTGTGAGTACTGGGATTCAGCTTGTTGCATTGCATCCCTGAAAATTATAGGGACAAGGGCAGTTTGGGGCAGAGATGAAGAATGGAAGGAGAGAGTATTCCCCAGTTTCTCCTTCTGCATCAGGCCCTTCATGACCCCTGTGGAGTGGCTTCATGTCACATGCAATCAAACCTGGAGTTCCCAGCAGCCATGTGTTCCCATGGTGAGACAGCCATGTGTTCCCATGGTGTTTGGGAGGAGTCTTTCTCAGAGGCTGGAAGGAAAGGCTGGGCCATGATCATGCACAGATGGTGAAAGAGCTCATGAGACAGGAGAGAAACCAAGGGCTGTATTTGGTTTCCCTGCCTAGCAGAGATTCAAAACAAAAAACTGTTTAGTTCAAAAGGAATTCTTTCCTTGGGGAGCAAGTGCTACTCCAAACAATAGGATTATTTTTTCATTATTGCAGGAGTAGCAAAGATAGCATGCAGTTTTGATTTAGAAGTAATGGGAAGATTTGCCTTGACTGTGTTTTATTCCAGCTGAAATCAGTAGAATGGGGTTTGGTGCTATTCACAACTGTTGTCCACTGTGTTGTGAGACCAAATATTTAACCAGCATTGCAGATTTGGAGGGATGACTAAAAATAACACAGTTGGTGAACTTACTTATTTCCAAGGTATGATTTGAGTCACTGCTTTCACTGACTACGCTTAAAAACAAAACAAAACCAAACAACAAAAACTTTATTCGTTAGGACTGGAGAGCCAGAATCGCCCCACAGGAGCTGTATAAAATAAATTTTATTTATATATGTACATATATTCACACATTCTAGAGCAGAGCACTTTCTCAATCAGCAGCATTAATTTACAACATAGTCATACAACTCTGAACTGATTGAACTGATTCACCTCCTGTTTATGTCAAAGAAAACCATCCAAAAACCTCCTTTGTTAGAATGGCTACCTATTATCAGTAATTGTTTTGGTTTTTTTTCAAAAGAGCCTTGTAGAAAAGGATCCCTGCAGTAAACTGAAAGAAATTGTGTCTTGTTTGGGGTATTAATTCCTGTATTCCATCTGCTGCTCCCTGCATTTGCAGTTCTACCTGTGAGTCACAGCTCCAAGACACGCCTGTACCAGTTTTAGGGGAAGTGAGCACAATTCCACATGGGTAATTCCACATCAGTATGTCTTTGATTCCCTACACTGATGAAAATTAACTGGTACATCTGCAGCAATACAGATAATATTGATTAGATCAGGTTAATTAACTGGCAAAGCCCTGCTAATATAACATTATTCCAGCTCCCTGAGTATTCCTTGCTCACGGTAAGGGGCAATCATTGCTCAGTACCTCTCAGTGCCCTTCATCTCTTGGTTTATGTGAGCACTGTTTAAATAACCCCCCCAACCATCCCACCCAAATTCTGGTGCTTTCTGGAGCTGTTCAGCTGGGACAGTGTTGCTCATGGCTGCCAGAAGCCAGGAAACTCAGATGTCAGTGGCAGTAAGGGAGCTTTTCTGGAGCTGAAGCCCAAATCTCTCTTTGTTTATCTGAAGTACCAGGCAGTTAACTTGAAAAATGGCCATTTATTGTGACCCTGGCTGTGCAATTATTCAGGCTTGTAATTGACATCTCAAACACAAGAGCAGTGCTGTAAAAAAGCACTGAGAATTGCCAAATGTCAGAGCAGTCATTGCTGTACACAGAATTACTGTGGCTAATTTGGGAACTGCTCTCACATCTCAGCTCCAGTGCTGGATACTTGGGACTGTTTCCCAGCAGAGCTTGAGGAGGACCTCCAGCTTCCCAGATTCCTCTCACAGCCATTCATAAGGCCCATAAAACTGTGGAAGAAGAGAGAAGTTTCAAGGCCAGGAGAAGCTGGAGGAAATCCAGTGTCTCTTGTTTGTTCACATCTCATTATTGAACAGACTTATTATTAAAGTGCTGAAGAAAGGCCTTCCAAAAATACAGGAGCTGATTTAAAAGAGTTTTGTCTGTGCCACGAGGTCCTGCTTGAATTAACTGTGTTTGAATTAACTGTGTTTGCTCACCTTGAATGGGAATTCCCAGATGGTTTTGCTGATGTGCGTGTGTGACAAGATGAAATTTCCCAGATATGTTATTCTCAGGAGACTGGAGGGAAAGGAGAAATCACACTTGGGTCCTGAATTAATACAGGGACCGATCCCTTTCTCATTAAAAACATCAGTGAAGTTTCCGTGGTTTTGGGGATCAGTCCCTGACAAACTGAATTTTGCAAAACCATGATTGTCCTTCTTCAAAATTCTGGCAAAGGGTGGCTTTTGGATAATTCTTAGTAGGAGGAAATGCAAAACTGAAGACTGCAAATGATGTGGAGTGGAACCTTCATTAAAAGCCACTCTCTCTCAGATGAATGTCTAATAAGCTCTGGAAGCAATAACCATTGGTTAGGGATGACATGGAGAATATTTCCTTCAGAGATGCAATAGGTTGAGCCATGCTATCCACAGAAGAATTTGATGAGGTTTAGAAGCCCAGCTCATCCCTAGGTGAAGGGATGCCTCCTGCAGGGAATGTCACTCAGGAAGAACAGTCAGCTTTCTAAACAGGCATATCCAGGTCTGTCCATCTGTTTCTTATCTTAAAACCGCAAACTCTGTAGAGAAGAAACTCTTTACTCTGTCCATATGGTATGTAACAAAAGGAGGCCTTGGATAATGATCAGGAGTCAGAATTGTTTAGGAATGAATGAATGTTTGATGTCACCAAAGATACAGTTTCTTCACCTCAAAAGAAATTTCCTTGATTTGCAAAGCTGATGAAGCTGATGGAATTTCTCTAAAAGCCTTCTCACTTGCCATACACAATTCTCACAAGTCTGAACTCCATAGGGATAATATCAGAGTAGCTCTTGGAGAGTAATAGTAGACTTTGACAATGAACACAGTAGCTCTATTTTGGAATGCAGGGTGAAGATTAAACCACAGCAGTTATAATGTGCCAAGCAGAGCTCTGAGTAGTCCTCCAACACACAGTGCAAACTCAGAGGAGCAGAACGGTTCCTCTACGTCCAAGCTGGCAGGATGGAAGGAATGTTGTCTTTTCAAATGCCTGGGAAATGAAGTGAGACCACAGTATTTGTGTGAGGGGTTGGAGTTTCACTAATTCTTTTTAACATATCTTTGAAATAATTCCCCATAATCTGCCATTGTTTCCTTTGCAAGCCATCTCTTTATTTGTGGCTTTAATATTCATCTCCAGGGTTGAGTGTCTGTTTGTCTTGGTCTGACAAAAGTGTTGGAAGTTGCTCCTTGTCTCATTTTCTGTATTGCTGGTGCAGTGCTGGGTCAGGCAGATTTGTAGCAATGGTTTTAATATTGCAAGCGAAAAATTGACAGACTTTATTGCTGCAGGTTAGAGGAAAGTCCTTCCTTCTCCTCTTTGGTTTAGTTGGGGTTGTTTTGGTTGTGGTTTATTTTTTTAAGTGGAAACTTAAAATGCTTTTTAGAATTGTGCTTTCATCTGTCTGCCTCTTCCTCTGGTCTGTTTGCTTTTGAGTCCCCAAAATTAGCAAGAGTAATGTTCTAGTTAGCAGTGCAGTAGGAAAGAATAACTTGACTTTATAAAATATAATAAACAGTGTAAGACCTGGAACAAGTACAAAACCTTCAGACAAGGTGAAAACCCCCAGAAGAATACCTCCATTCAAAATGTCTGGGGATGTCTGCAAATACTGCCAGCAGCTTAAGTCTTGTCCTTTTCCTTTCCAAACATGTGTATTAGGTTTTCCTTTAAAAATACATACTGTATCCCTGAACTCTTCCACGCTCCCAGTCAAAGAACTATTTCCTTTAGACCAGTTGATTCATACCCAAAATAAAAGCTGTGAGACATTATTTTGGTCTTGCTTGTTTCCCTCTTGTGATATTGATGGAAAACATTCTCTTTGAAATATTCAAGCTGTAAAGCCACCAATCATCTCTAGCTATTGAGGGTTACCTGGCTCGACATCTCAGGAATTCCACAGGGCTCAAATTCAGTTCTACCTGACCTGATCCAGCTGTGTTTAAAATGTCCCTTATCCTCTGGGGCCTGTCTGTGCTGTACAGCAAATCTTACAATGGACAAATAAAGTGCAGTGTACAGATTCGTGTTTTTGTTTGGAATGGAGCTAACTGTGATCTTCCCTCCTCTTGGTATTTTTACAACAAAATACTTGCTTTGCAGACAGGGCAAAAAGGTTTTGTTTTGTGTAGGAAGCTCAGCTACAGGCTTATCTTTCTGTAATGCCTGTAGGTTAATTCAGTGAAGATAAAGCCCTTGCATCACACAATCTGTTCTGTACCTGGGTTTCTAAATGCACATGGATGACTTAGAATAGTATGCCTAACAGATCAGGGTAATTTGTTCCTTAAATATGAGCTTTGTCATTTTGGGGTCAAATATGATGGAGTGAGAGACTGTCTGTTGTTTAATGTGTCATCTGTTCCACCTGGGTGACACCCATCTGTTTGAGTGTCCCAAGCAGAGGCTAATTTTGTAGCTGTGCTGTTGCCAGCAGCCTGAGAAGGATTCCTTGTGGCATTTATTTACTTCTTTTTATTTGCCTTAAAATCGCTGCTGATTACGGCCTGACTTTCTCTTTGTGGTCAGATGAGAACAGCAGTGAAAATTCCACTGAAATTTAACTTACTGGGAAGGAGCCACAAGTGGTCTAGGATTTATTCTTGGATTGTTTTGCTGTGTCACCATCTTTTATTAGCTGGTAATTTCCTGTTCATCAATGACAGAGCAGTCAAACAGCACATCCTCTGCAGTGGAGGTTGTCCCTGCGTGAGTAGCTTTTTGTATTTACAGTCTAGGCAAGAGAGAATTCTTCATAGGGGTAAAAAATGTGCGTGGAAGGAAGGGATTAATATTAAGATGATGGCCTCATCATCTGATTTGGCCTCTTAAATCCTTCTGGAGGTGCCAGCTCTAGAAATTCTCCCAGTTAATTTTCTTACAATCCCCTCTGTATTCTGCTTCTAACAAAGTCCTGTGAGAATGACTGTAACAGATGAGAAAATTAACTGAGATTTGAATCACATTTGAAATTGGCAGGAAAGTGAGGGGCTTAAAGCCAAGCTCCACAACATCCTCAAATACGGAATATTTGGTATCAAGAGCCCAGTGTTTGCTTCTGAGAACTAGGGCTGCTTGTGATTTGCTGCAATCAATCAGGACTTAGCAGTCCCATCAAAGAAATGTCACTGGGAATGAAGGGCACGAAGGGAGAGCTTCCCTGGGGCATAGCAGCAGCTGTGGCTGGGACCCCCTTCCTGCTGTTATCTGGAGTCTGGAAAACCTGCCTGGAGAATATCACAAATCCATTTTTTGTTGCTGTTTGCTTTGGGTTTTTTTCATGAGTTGATTAGCAGAGGTTGGCTGCAGTTGATAATAGGGATACCTGTGAGAACTGTGTGACCTGCTCAGACATAATTCTGAGGGCATTAATTACATATTGCTGAAATTTCAAACCATAATTGGAGATCAGTGTTATGTTGCAGCCTTTGCAGTAATCTGAAGCAGCTCTGTTCCACAAGAAATTTTGGAGACAAGTTACCACCTGAAGCCTAAAACTGTTCCATTGTCATTATTGCTCTTAGTTTTCATTTTTAAATCTTGCAATTAGTGTTCTTAAAAAAATAATAAATAAAGCAAAAGGCAAATACAAACCATCTGTGAAACAGAAAGAAATTGTTAAAAGCTGCATCCACAAGGATCCCTGGGAAGAGTGCCACAACACAAGCATTCAGCCAGCATGATATAATTACAAATTGAACATCTCTAAAACAAATTCCACATTGAAAATAAAAATGAATTCTGCTTCTTTCTTTGTGGTAGAGGATGATATTAATCTCAGTTCTAGAAATTACCACCTATCCTCCTGCAAACTGCAAGGTCTGGGGAGTCTGCATGCCCTCCACAGGTGGGGTTTTTTGGAGGGAGCACCTCATGGGGCATTGCTCAAATCCATGTTTCACTCAAGAGACTGAGTTCAGGAGGATTCAGAGCAAGTGTGGAGCTTGCTATGTTTTTTAGAGCTCTGACATAATGGCAGGTAATGACATTCTGTGTTCATGGCATATAGAAACGTGCCTCTTGTTCCAGGAGATGGCTTATTCAGCTCATAGCAACTGGATTCATTGAAATAAAGGGCCATTTTATGTTGAGACATAATCATTTTACACTTAACTAGGACACACTCTCCAATATGTTCTTATTTCTTGCTTTTATCTAAAGGAACATTTTTCTGGCTTTAGTCAGACTGGATCTGATGGCTCTTGGGGCACACTTGAGGTTAAAATGTTTTCAGCAAAATCATCTAAGTATTTGTGATGACAACTTATGTTATCATTTACTGCTGTATTTGCAAGGGGAACAAATGGAAACTTTAGTCCTGGAAAAAGAAAAGCCAGTAGAAGAATTCTGTAAATAAATGAAATGGATGATGACACAATATTTAAAATTATTGCTGAACAATTTTGTCATTTAAACAAGACTCTTTTTTTCTAGGCATGCCCTGCCTTTCCCAGAAAAGTGTTACCCTCAGTTTTAGAGGTTAGATCCGTCTGTTAAATAGATGGTTTCCTCTCCATTGAAACCAGAAGTATTCCTAAGAACTGAAGATAACTGTAATGAAACAAAAATCTCCAGAAAAATTTCTCCATGAAGATCAGATTAATCCTGAGACTAAATAAACTTTTTTTTTCTTCAGGAAAGTTGAAAGTAGCTGCAAGAAAATGGTTTGACTTGTCAGGCACAAAAGAGTACATCAAACACAATACAGTTTTTGGAACCTTCCTAATTTAAACAAAAAGAAAAATTCTCTACCTTGTATATATAATTCTAAATAAATAAACAGTTATTAAAATGTTTGGAATAGGAAAAAATGAATTTTCTGCTTTGAAGAGGAGCATAAACCAATGGCTTTTAAGGGAAGGCCCACCAGAGTTTCCTTTGAACATTTGAAACCAATGAAAATGTCCTTGATAAACACAAGTACTGCAATAAATGTAAAAATTCAAGCTTCTTTGTTTCCTGATCCAGTGTTTTGTTTTTCCCTTGTTTTTCCTGTTGCAGAAATAAAAACCATGCATTTCACTGTGAATTTCTTTACTTAGTTCTGGAACTTCAACCTTAGATTTTTCTTAGATTTTTCAATACCTCTGAAGGGAGATTATTTAATTTCAGAATTCTGTTTGATTGTAAGCTTTACTTTGGTCACAAAAACTTCTGTTTCTGATTGTAATTACCACCAGTGTGTTTCTTTCACAGAGAGGTTGTATGGGAAATAATTGCCATTCTTTCTATCCAGTCTGTTAATCTCCATACTTCCACTTCTCACCTCTTCCCTCATGCCCTAGGTGTGTTAAATCAGGAAGTCCCACACTGCTGTCATCTGATCTGTGCTTCCTGGCTTTCCACCATCTGAGAAACCATTCCCTGGAAAAGAGCTTTCTGGAATAAGCCTTCTGTGCCCCGTGGGATAAAGATGAGCAGCAGCAGCAGTCCAGAGCTGTTATGGTAAGTCAAGTTGAAATGACAACTGCTCTTAATAACAATTAGAGCTTATTAAAACCAAGTCCACTGGTGGTTTGTAAGAAGAGAATACCTGCTTGCTCACTGGTTATTTAGTTGATGTACAGACTGTCAAGCAGACAACAACAGCAATGACTGGAGAGACACTATAAATACAGCTGACTTCCCCCATTTTTAGATCTCCAGAGACTGCTGACAAAATTATTGAGATTCTTTTCCCCTCCAGTGAATAAGAAATGCTGAGTAAAAGGATATTACATAAATTGGCTGACATTTGGAGTGGACTAGCTAATTCTCATTGCCTCGTGTGTGGTGGCTGTGTGTGTATGTGCACATGTGCCTGGTATTGTCAATGAGCTCCCTGCCCACTCCCCTCTGCTCCCAGCAGGCTGCTGGGAGGCTGAATTTTGGGGGTTACGTAAGAGACAGTCTAGGAAAACATCCCAACCATTTGGAATTTATCCTCAGCACTAACCTCTTTCCTCCATTGTGTCATGCACTTAAAAAAAAATATTTTTGTTTAGTGGCGTGACGGGGATGTGTCTCATCTGAAAAAATGAGGTCTGACTGTTGTGGGGAGGTAGTTGGGTGTACCAAAATTGACTTTTGCTCACTTCTGCTTTCCATGGGCTGTGGCTGCAGTCCCTGGAGTCAAAAATCTCTGCTTTCTCTAACAGCTGGGAGTTGAAGATCAACAAGGGCAATTGTGCAGCAAAGGGAGATAAAAATGAGCTGTTAGGGCTGTATCTTTGCCCTACTGGCAGCTGCTTCCTGGGAAAAGGCTAGCAGCAGGTGCTGTGTCTACAAACATTTCTGACAAATAAATTCCTTGAAAAAGCAACAAAAAGTAATGTTGTGAGGTTACACTTTATGGTCAGAGAAAATGGGCTCATTCCTAATTTGAATAAATTTATGAAAATCATAAAATACATTCCAGTGAAAGTGCATTTCACCAGGAACGTCACTTGTTTGTTATGTGTAACCCTCCTCTGAGCTGTGCTGAATACAGCTTCATATTCCTGCTGATTTGTGAGGAGTTTCATCCAACAAATTTTGGTTGGCCTGTCTTTTAACACCAGAAGCACACTCCAGTACATTTTTCTTATACCCCTTTGGAACAGTGCAGTGTTACTTTATTACATGTGATTTTTCTCTTGTGGCCAAGAACCTTAATCCTGATTCCACTCAAGTTTCATAGCAAAGATCTTAGTAATATTTGTGTTTTCTTTTAAAAGTGGTTGGGATCAGACCTCTGGGCCCTGTCTCTGCTTTGTTTTACTCCTGTTCTGCTTTGAATTTCTTAAAAATTCTGTTCTCAATCTTTTGTAGGTTGAAATGAATGAGAGTTCAGCTCCACACAACAGAGTAGGAATTACACCTAAATTCCTCCCAGTACCACTGCTTTTCATATGCTAAAATCAATAGATTGGATTCAGACAGGAGGTAAGCAAATGCAACTCCTTTGTTCACACTCCTTTGTACCACGTCTGGATTCTGGCCAGTTCCATCCAGTCTCCTGTGATAATTGCATACAGTTTGTTCCAGTCTCTTCATCCCCATTGCTTACAATGCTTACATTTGCCTTTCTTGCATGTAACCATCCTGGAAACAAGACTTGTGTCTGAGAGGTAATGTAATTGTGTTTTCAATTATCCTCTGTGGGAGTAATCCAAACATCATAATATTAACTAATTTCTTTTTTTGAAGATGGTACACAAAGCTCCTGTAAAAAAATTGAAATAAGAATACAGGCTATTCAGTGCCGATCTATTTTGTATTTCAGTGGAAGAACAAAGGCACCCCACTTCACTCTTCCTAACAACCAAACCTATTCACCTCTGTTGGCTCCTAACACAGGATATAGCAACACACAAGCTACAGCTTTTTTCCTAGGAATTTGGTCTTGTGTCTTGGGCATGTGGCAGCCAAAAAGCATTTGTTTACCCTCTCATAATTTTCAAGGGCCTCTTTTCCTTCCTCTTTGCAAAAAAATGACTTCCATCTGCAAAGTACAGTTGTTAAAAAAAAAAGTTGGATAAAGTTAAAAATTATGCTTTTTACTTTTTTTTAAATACAAATCACTTCATCATTATTTCTGTCACATCTTTACTCCGTTGTCCTTACTGCACGTCCCAGACCCAAGCAGTTTCACACATGTGATGCATGGAGCCAGGACTTCTAGTGAGAGCTGGCAGGGAACCCAAATGCCTTAAAAACAATGACTGCCATCATCACTTCAAAGAGTCCAATAGCTTTTTAAGGGATTTGGGTTGATGCCTGAACTGACTCCAGAGTGCTGAGATGCTTTATTGGTGCTTAATTTGGACAGCATGGGAGATGTCTGGGAATCAACTGTTGGAAATGGCAGGCAATATAGGGATACCCTAAAACATTAATTTCCCTAGAAGCTTATGCTCGGGGTACTGAAGGTGAGAGTGTAGTGAAGAATGACAGAAAAGGTCTGTTGTCCAGCTAACAACTCCAGTGACAGGAATTTAATTGTCGGCATCCCCTAAGCTTGAAAAAAGTTTCAAACAGAGCTCCCAAATAGGTCCAGTTGACTCCTGAGACACTGATTGTGTGTGTCTGGCCGTCGAGTGGCACTGGCCAAGCTGCACTAAACGTGGAATCAGGTTGGTTCAGAACAGCTGGTTCTGAACTAATTGCTTAATAAAATCACAGGTTTATTAGATGATTAACCTAACTTTTTATTTCTTATCAGCTCTGGAGAAAACATGCATTGGCAGTAACTCATTCCTTATATTGCACTTGCCACTTCTTCCTGCTCTTCTGCCCTGAGCTACTGAGTTTTGCTATGATGTTTATAACTGTCTCATCTATTTGCCTTTATGGAGCATGGAATCTTCTAGAAACCAGAAAAGAGCACACAATATAGATGGAGAAAAGCAGGAAAGGGTTGGCTCTAGTGCATACAGAAAAAAAACCGCAAACAAACATAATGAAAGGCATTTTTTTGACTTCCCTAAGTAAATTCTTTGGGCAGTACTCAGGTTATACTCAGCCTCTTCCCCTTCAGAATTTCTGAACCTTTGGTTTTCTAAAGATCACAGTTCTCTCCTGCTCCATTCTGTTCTCCATTCCACAGCCACAGCTGGGAAAGGTATTTATTCTCATTCATGTCTCTGTGGTGAAACTGGCCACTAGGAAAAAACCCAATGTTCCATAAAAATAACTCTGTTCAATAATAAATTTGTGCATGAGGTCATACTCTTAATCTGAAAATAAATAGCTAAATAGTAAAAAAAAAAAAAAAAAAAAAAAGAGCCAAACTTCAGCAACTAATGAACTAATGATGCCTTATGGGCTACTTGTAAGAAGCTGGAAGAAATTATTGTCCTTGAAAGTCACCTCTACAAATATCCTTGATAAAAATGAAGTAGTTGGCATGGCACTGGTGTCACTGTACATTGTGGTGGTGGGATTATGACAAGAGACCTGTTAGTGACAATTACAGGAATTGTTCAGCATGAGTTGAGGTCATTTGATGCAGGGCCATAAAGGCTCTTGTACACTTTTCTTGGGAATGCACAAGTGCTGTAGGTAAAAAGATTTCAATACCTTCATATGATATCTGTGTGCACTAAAAATACCATCTGGAGGTGGCTGCCAAAGAAGTCAGTGAGAGATGCTATTTGAAGGGTGTGAGTAAAAAGTAATGTTACCATAACTTCCAACCAAGTAGGTGAGGTAGCCTGGGGATGTATCCTGTG